AGCCAGGCACCCCGGAGCCCCCCGGGCTGGGCCCATCCCCTGCTAATGGTGGCTTCGTTTGTTCCCCAGCAGACAGCAAGGCTGGTCCGAGGGCAGCTGGGCCGCGTGGTCCCACCGGCATAGCCACAGGGCAGCCCGGAGCAGAAGGAGAGAGCGTTTTCTCCAAAATCCTGCCAGGAGGGGCAGCGGAACAAGCAGGCAAACTGACTGAAGGTGAGGGCTGCTCCCAGGGATGGGGCAGTGATGCTCCTCTGCATGGAGATGGGGTTGGGTGCTGTGGGGGTGGCCAGGGCGTGGTGCTCCCCCAGTTTGGAGCAAAAGCAGTGGTTTGGAGGCCAGGGAGGTGGGCGGCCGGGGTGGCTGCACCGTGGTGACACCTTTCCCGGCTTTCCCGCAGCGGTGTCGGCTTTTGGCAAGAAGTTCACTTCGTTCTGGTGAGAGAACGGCACAAGGTGAGTGCAGCCGGTGCCACGCACTGTGCCGCGGGCTCTCCCTGCCCAGGCTGTGCCAGACACCCTCGTGCTCCCTCCTGCTGCAGGAGTTTGGGAAGCGAGCGGAGATCGAGTCGTTGCAGTGGAAAAACCTATGAAGAAGCCAGTGAATTCAGCATGCGGCGCCGGACTCTGAGTATAACGGTGAGTGTCCAGGACACAGCCACACGCTCACCCCCCTCCGTCACACTGGTCCCCTCTGCCATGCCATCCCCAGGGCTGCCACAGCACCGCTGACCCCTTGGTGCCCACTGAGCCCTGCCCTGCCATGCTTCCAGCCCCTAGGGTGAGAAGGACATGGTGCAGCCCTGTCCCCTTTGCGCTGGGCCACTCGTTCCCATCCTCATCCCCAAGCAACGGCCCCAAGCCAAGGCGTGGGGGTGCTTGGCCTTGTTCCCCGGTCTCGGCAGCGCTGTGTGGGCCGATGCCATGCGGATGCCGGTGCAGACCCCAGGTTTGCAGGGAAGGTTTGGGCGGCCCGAACTCTGTGCCGGGAGCCCGTCCAGTGCGGGGGCGGCAGCAGCTGCTCT